ATCCAAAAGTGTAATTGCCAGGTCATATGATAATTTGATTTTCAGTTTTCTGCAGAAACACTATAAAGTTTTATATAATGTCTTTCTAATTTACATTCCTACAAATAGCGTACAATAGTTCCCTTCTCTCCACATTCTTATCAACACTTGTTATCTTTTGTCTTTTTATAGTAGCCATTCTGAAGGGTGTGTGATCTCATATAACCAATTTTAACTTGTGTTTTCCTAATGATTAATGATGCTAAACAGTTTTCATATATCTGTTGGCCATTTGCATGTCTTTTGAGAAATATATGTTCACATCCCTTGCCCGTTTTTTAATTCGGTCTTTCAGTTTTTGCTCCTAAGTTGCTGAGCTCCTTATATATTTTGGATATTAATTCTCTATTGGAACTATGGCCTACAAATATTTTCTCTCAATCCACAGATTCTCTGCATACTATTAATTATTTCCTTTGCTGTGAAGAAGCTTTTAAGTTTGATATAATCCCACTTGTCTTTTGGTACTTTTGTTGCCTGTGTTTTAAGGGTCAAATTCAAAATACCATTGCCCACATCAGTTTTGCCTGGTTTTCTCTGTATATTTTCTTCTAGTGGTTTTATAGTTCATGGTCTCACATTTGTATTTAAGCCATTTTGAGTTGGTCTGTGTGTAATATGAGATAAAGGTCGATTTCATTCTTCTGCATGTGGATATCCAGTTTCCCCAGCCTCATTAATTAAAGAGACTATCACTCTGTATAATCCTATTCTGGTTTCCATTTGAGTGGAATACCTGTTCCCATTCCTTCACTTTCAATCTGTGGTATCTTTAAAAGTAAGTGAGTTGAATTTCTTAAAGGCAGCATATATACATGGGTCTAGGGTTTTATGTTTTGTTTTCCTTTAATCCATTTAGTCACTCTATTTTTATTAGAGAATTCAATCCCCTTTAGTAAGGATAATTATTAATAGGTAAGAACTTACTACTTCTCTTCTGTTACTTGTTGTTTTCTGATTATTTTATAGATTCTACATTGTTTCTTTTTTGCACTCTTAATATGTTCTTTTGAGGTTTGATGGTTTTCTGTATTGGTATCCTTTGAATTCTTTCTATTTTGCTTTGTGCTTGTATTCTAAATTTTCTTTGTGGTTTTTCTTCATTTTCTTTGTAGTTACTATGAGACCACAGCTGATATCAAGCTGTTAACAATTTTATTTCCTAAAACAACTATGTACTTTTACTCCGTAAAAGAATTTTATGTTTTTATGTCAGAATTTACACAATTCAGTAATATGTATTCTTTGACAATTTGTTTCAGCAATAGTTGTCATAAATAGTTTTATCTTTTAACGCTTGTACTGCAATGAAATTGCCTTATACACTAATACTACAGTCCTAGAATATTCTGAATATGGGGCTCAGAGAAATTCTGAGTGGTGGGACAGTCAGAGTATGACTCTTAGCCTTCCTGATGTGGCTTTACTTCAGTTCTATAGATCAAATGGCTGCCTCAGACTAGTTTCCAAGTATCCTGGTTTTCAAAAGAATGTTCTGGTCTATAGATTGTTGCTAGTTGAACTTTTTGTGGGGAGGAGTGTTTGAGTTGGAGACTTCCTATTCTGCCATGTTGCTGATGGTATTCATTATAGATGTTTCCTATCCACATCCAGTTTTCTCATGCAGTTCTCCTTTGTGTTTGGGGTTTCTCTGCTTCAGAGATCCTTAGATCTTCCGGTGACTACTTTTCTTTTGGAGACTGACTGTGAAGCTTCTGTTCCAAGCTGCTTGGTGCTCTTCTTTCCAGGCTCTGAACTCCAGACACCCTCAGTCTGACTGCATGTATGTGACTATGTGTAGTCCTGCTCACATGAATTCCTTTCTTTTACTCCTCACTAAGTCCCATCTCATAATCACTTTGCTTTTCTTTCCTTTTTTTTTTAAATGTTTTCCTTTAAAATTGGGGCTACAATACCCAGGAAAAGCAAAGAGAGGTTTAAAAAATTAGAGGAAAGGAAAACATAAAATTGAAAATTAATGGAAACTATTGGAGAAAAATAATCCCCTTTCATAACATTATTTTTAGTAACTTTTGTGTTACATTCCTATACTCAATAGAACAACAGAAAATCATTCAAAGTATCAGAAATTATTAATACATAGTTTAATACTTATTGTAAATATTTGCACATCAAACATGTTTCTCTAAAATGATACAAATATACACTTGATGAATGTTATGGTTTAAATATGAGTTGGTCCCACTGCTTCCCCAGGAAAAGCTCATGTGTAAGAAAATTTAGAGGTGAAATGATTGGTTTATGATCATTTAATCTTAATCATTGCATTGATCCACTGTAAGGATGGCCTTAGGCCTAAGCCTGAGCAACTCCATATTAAAACTCCAGTTTGAAACCTGCAGTCTCACCAGGGACACCTAACAGAGCCCTCCAGTATGGCTCTCAGATGCAAACAAGTCATGTGTCCCCTACCCTGAGAAACTCAGAGTAAAGTCTCTGGCATGTTGTCCTAGCCCCATAAGGGGGAAAGGTGAGAAAATCAGAGTGGGGACTACTAGACCAGATGTTTTAACCCCAGGGTAAATGATGTAACTGAAGACCTGGTGGCAGCTGCTGGGGATTGAAAGGGGGATCAAAAGCCCCAAAATTTGGTATAAAAAAATGGAGCAAATGAACAGACATTCAGCCAGCTGACACTGATGCCCTCACACTGGAGAGCCTGATGAGGACCTGGACTGACATCCCAACACTTATTATTTGCCTGATCCTCTGCATTTTCCTCATTGTTCTCAAACTCTACAGCCACATCTTGACCCTGGTGAGAGCCATGGCTTCTCCCTACAACCCTCTCCTCAACTGGTTGTCAGCTCCACCCCAGGTGAAACCTGCCTTGGTTCCTGACCTGATCACCATGGTCTGAGTTACTGTGCATGTGCTGGACTTAGAGCCTAAAGCTTGAGACTTTTGATCTGACACTTGAACTTAGCATGCAGAGGGAATGTCTGTCATGAGCCTGTCATGATTAAGTGTGTTTGCACTGCTTAGAATTATTCTATAATTGTTTGCTGTGAATTGATTATGTCTATTGTAGTGCCTAGCATTAAGAATTGTCATTTTCTTGATTAAGAACCTATAGAGTGAAATTGTATTGAGTGATTTGAGTGAATAAAGCATTAACAAAGGCAGAAGCGCATGGACATTCTTTATTTCTCCCCATCAACTGCATAAATCAAGTCGCACCTTTTTGCCATTGTGACATCCACTGATAGGGATTAAGTGGATGGTAATTGTAGAATGGCTGGACCATGTGGGTTCCTGGGGGTGTGCCCTTGGGGTTTACATTTTGTCTGTGGTGAGGGAAGCAGTCTCTGTCTGCTTCCTGGTGGCCTCATCCTGAGCTGCTTTCCTTCTCCATACTCTTCTACCATGATGTTCTGCCTCACCTGCCTAGAGAAATGTAGCCCAAGATAAGGACCAAATAAAACTTTCCTCCTCTAAAATTGTCCTTGTCAGGTCTTTTGGTCACAGTAGGGAGTGGGGTGGGGGAGGAAGCTAAGCAACAAAGAGATCATTAAATACCTAAAAGTTACACAAATTAGAGTCTGATTAGCCACCAGTAGCAGATCCATTTGAATTTGTCTCTACCAACTCAAATTGCAGAAAATTACTCCAAAAAAGTGAATATGGTAGTTCAGTTGTTAAGTCCACTGTCAAATTCATCTTCATTTATGGATACATATACTGTTCTGTCTAGTCAATGAACAAGCTGTGCAAGAATGCCTGAGCCTAGTAACTTTAGAAAGATCTTCTTACAAGGTAGATCTTTGGTTGGAGTCTGGGAACTTAAGTAGTAAATAGTTGTCTATACTGATATAAAAGTTTTGTTAAGTCATCAAAGCATTTCATTTCTCCACTCCTAGATTGTACAAACTGGTTCATGAGCCCAACACCTACTCTCCATCTGGGAGTATAGAATTTTGATACATTCTTGGAAGAAGTTACCCACAGGTCCATTTTTTTTTTAAATGAAAATTGGGATACTGAGTCTCTAATGAACTTCCTGTTAACAACATTTCACACACATTGTTACAACTGGTTGCTGGAGGAATTAAGTCCTGTGTGATTCTATTGAGAGAGGACTCTTGGGAGCTTGTGCCTGTGCCTACAAACTTCTTCCCATGTGCCTTTTTCCCTTGCTGATTTTGCTTTGCATCCTCCACTAGCATAAATACTAGCTCTGAAAGTACTAAATACTGAGGCTGGTGAGTCCTTTAAATTATTCCTAAATGATTTGGTCCATCTCTAAATCAGTCCTTCCCTGAATCACTGAATGTAGGAATGGTTTTGGATACCTCTGATACACAAAGTTTGATTGAAAGGTTCACATTAAGATATATAGATGCTAAATAAGTTATTAATGCATTATTTGTAAATAGAATTATCCTAAGTGAAACTAAGTAAATAGCCTGCCATGATTTTAAGAGAGTCACAACATGGTGGCTATATCTGCATACAGAAGTATGCAATTTTTTTTTCAATTAACTGAGTCAAACTAAAATAAGGCAAATACAAAAAGCTTATTTATATGGAAGTAGAATCTTATCAGATTATCATAAAAGCTAGAGGCATATAAGTTAGCCTAATGGGAACAAGTGGGTTTTGAAAGGTTATGATAACTAGAAGTAGGGAAAAAGAGAATTTTGAAAAGGGGAAAGTTGAAAATGGATAGAGGTTATGACCAAAGATGTAAAATATAGAGCATATCAGGAAATAAAATATAATAATAACTGCTGCATATTTCCCAACACTCTTAGAATCCCAATAAATTAAATGCTTTATTTATAACTCAGTCTTTTCTATAAATAATGAATTATCTCAGGAGGCCCATCAAAATTCAGTGATGTCTTAAATATGTTCCTGTTATCAAGCTGAAGCACAGAACCTTTATTCTGCTGGTTTCTAATCATACTTTTCTTTTCTGCCTCTCTTTTGTAAGGTCCATCATGAGTGAGAAATGGGACTCAAACTCTTCAGAAAACTGGTATCACATCTGGAGTGTCAATGACACACAGCATCACCTGTATTCAAACAATAGTATTACCTATGTGAACTACTATCTTCACCATCCTCAAGTGGCAACAATCTTCATTATTTCCTACTTTCTGATCTTCTTCCTGTGCATGGTGGGAAACACCGTGGTTTGCTTTATTGTTATGAGGAATAAACACATGCATACTGTCACTAATTTCTTCATCTTAAACCTGGCAATAAGCGATTTACTGGTTGGCATATTCTGTATGCCCATAACACTGCTGGATAATATTATAGCAGGTATGTTGACTGCATAGTGCATGGTTGATGTAAGAAAGGTTTGCAACATATCCCTATAGCCAGGGCAGCATCATTCCCTTGCAAATATTTATGCAGTTCCAGGAACTACTCCAGGTACCTGTTCCCATGGGGTATACATTCTAAAGGAGGAGACAACACTAAACAGAGAATTTGAGAATAAGAATTATGGGGAAAATTAACTCAAGTGACAGAGATGGAGAATGTAGGCTATTCTTTTTATAAAGCGCTCCCGAAACATCCTAAGAGTATGATATCTCGCATTTCTTACCAAAACATTTGAATTTGTTAAATATAGACAAAAGAACATAGAGTACAGCATGAATGTTATTAAGAATAATATTAGGACTGTACGTTTCAGAGAACTGGTGCATCTGATTGCAGTTGATGTACTTGAACATAACATCATAGAAATTTCAATCTAATAATATACAGACATTTAGGCCCTGTTGTGGTTAGCCAGATAGATTTCTATCAGTTTTTGAGGGAAGATGAAGCAGTCATGATGATTTCTCAAAACATGGCAGTTTACACGTACAACATAAGTTGTATCACACTGTAAAGGTTAGGTATCTCCTTTCTAGGACTTCTGTGTCCACATTATTGCTTCTCAAGCACCACCTTAATGTGTTCTAGAAGTATAGAAGCAATGTATTTCCAGATAACCACAGCATTTTGATACTTAGAACAAAATTAATATTCATTGTGTTAATGGAGAGCACTCAAGATATTCACATTCAAATCTTCATAAGAACAGTGAAATAATCACAGCCTATTTAATAGCCCTACCATATCCTTTCATAGCACTCAACATCAGTTCACTGAAGAATAGGAAAAGAGCTTTCTTTCTTTTCATCCATTTTCTCCTTCCTTTCTCTGGAGTAGTTGCCTGCCAAGGATAATTCGGGGTGCTTATTCTATCAGTTCTGTCCTGAATTGATCAGGAGAATTTCTGATGCTTATCATTAAACAAATACTTACTAAGGATGTAACATGTTCAAGATACTATACTAGACAAAGAGAGTGAAGGAATTGATAAAAATTGTTGTTCTCAGGTAAGTCACATTGTCAAAAAGTAGTCTTAATATTTTCCCCAGAAATATTTTTAAAATTATTATTTAACAATTTTTGAATGTAAATTACTCCACTTTACCTCTTGATTTTTATTCTAAGTAGTCAGCACTTTTTATCTTTATTTTTGGTAATTAATAACATTTTCAGCACTTTTTATCTTTATTTTTGGTAATTAATAACATTTTTTAAAAAATGTTTTCAATATGATATTTTTCTTCAATCTGTACAAGACACAAATTTTGTTCTCATAATCCACTTCCACTCATAAAGAAAAAAATAAACTCACAAACTTCATGTTCTTTCATTCTCCCAATATAACAATGAACAGTTCTATTTAAATCAATATCCAGATATTTAAATCAATATCCAGAGTATACGTTTCTATTTTATGTGTATCTTACCCTTGCTGAACCGTGGAAAGTGCTCTGATAGCAATTTCTCTTCTATAAAATGTTGTTTTGTTTTCTTGATTTATGGAGATCATCACACTTTGATTAGTGTATTCAATCTAATAATATACAGACATTTAGGCCCTGTTGTGGTTAGCCAGAGAGATTTCTATCAGTTTTTGAGAGAAAAACTTTTTTTCTGCTGTGTACCTGTCAGTAATGTATCCTCAAATTCTCTTCCAGGACTCTCATGTTAATAACTTCGTATATCTATGGTAACCCATGAACTGCATCTTTTTCCTACAGTACCTCTCCAGGTATTCTCTGACCTTTGTACTGTCTGGATTTTTTGCTCTCCAAGCACGGAGCACAGAAATTTGTCTGGAATACTCTTCGCTGGTATTCTGATAATTATCTTCACCTTTCTTTGCGTTTTTGTGGATGCCATGTCTTCTTCTTTCTTGGCTTATTCTTTCCTGAGAAATAGCACACTGAGATAAAACATATTTGAGATCTTGCATATCTGAAAGTATCTTTGTTTTGTCTCACACATGATTTTAGTTAGCAATGTGAAAAATCATGGTTCATAAATTTCTTCCCTCAGAATTGTAGAGGTATTGCTCCTTTATTACTGTTGGGAAATGTGGAGTCACTGATGAAAACATCTAGTGCCTTTTGAGTCCTGCTTCTTTTGTTCGTGACTAACACTTTTCCTTCCCGAAAGCCTTTTGAACTTGTCTATATGCCTAGTATTCTGAGTTTCATGATATTAAACTTTGTATTACATCTTTTTGGTTTTTATTTATTGTATTAGATGCAAACTAGATATTTCAATCAGAAAATGAATTTTTTCAATTTTTTCTTCCAGCCTTTAGATTAATACCTTATCTCTGTTATCACATCTTAAAATTTTTTTGAGTATTTTTTTTATCTCTTGCATCTTCCTCATACTATCATACTGTACTTGTTTCATGGATGAAATTGCTTCCTGCAAGTTCCCTGTGCTGGAGGTTGAGGTAGACCACTCCCAGCTTCAGTAGTTAGGGACTTTCATGGCCATTAAATCTGCATGTCAGTGTTCTTGGAGTCATTGTCCCCTGAAGTTTGTTCTCTGGTTTGTTGCTATAGGGACATAAGACTGGTTGCTGCATTTCAGAGCTGAATGGGTCTCTGGGTCTGCAGTGGTCTGCTGTCACTTAATCCTTGGTCATCACTATGGCATCTACTAACCCTGCACTTGGTGAATGAGCTTTAAGCCTCCACTCTTTTGCCAACAGAGGAGAAAAGCCAATGACATGTGATTGGATTTGTTTATAATTTCCACTGTCATCTTGTTTTCCCAACTTTGCACGCAATAGTATCTGGCACCTTTGTTTCAATGGATTTCTGCTTTTATGCTTTGGCGCTGTCATTTCAATGGCGTTTGATGAGGTATATAAAGTAAAATTTAGGCTTATTCTTTCATGTTCACCCCGGGGTTACATACTGCCTTTCACCTTTTTTTAAATAATATTATTCACAACCTAACAAATTTTAGGACTGGGGAGACATTTAGTTTCCATTCAGTAGTCACTCAAGTACTTATTTTAAGATGTTCTAGACAGGTGGTGGTGTTTTCTTGTTTTGTTTTTTTCCAATATAGCTAAATTATTAAGAATGAAATATTTCATACTAGATAAGAATATTTTGCTTTGGAAAAGTAAGTTGCAGAATATTTTTAAAAGATAAATTTTAGAAATATGAAGCATGTGTACAGAATATTTTCAAGTGGAAGAATATTGTTATTTCTCTTTAATAGCAGAAGAGCATTTTGAACATCAAACTGCTATAAATTTGTTACCAATTTCTTTTATAAATTTTCTAGTACCTGAGGTTTGGTTAGGAGGTAATGAAAATAGACTACTTTTGTCTGTGCAAGGGGCTCTTCATTCTGGAAGTAGCTCTGATATAAATTATTTTGTTACGTTATATATAAATAAATATAGCTTATTTATTCTATATGTAACTCCTGGTTTCGTATAATTTATGGAGTATATTTCCAAATCATCAAAACAACATTCTGACTCTTTTCTTTATTTAAGGGGTATTATCACATAAGGGTTAATGGTTTGAATTTTGGAAACCTATTACCTGGGTTAGGATCCTTATTAAGCTGATAACTAGCAATGGCAAGGTATGTGATATTTGTTTGATGCCTTGCCTACACATATCTTGAAGATAATAAAGCTTTCACAAGCTTGTCATGGAAAAAAAATAACTTGTCATGGGAATCAGCTGTGTTAACAAATGTAAAACACTTATCATAGTGGCTAGAATATGGGAATTACTATCTAAGTTTTGACATTGTCATTAGTGTGCTAAAAAATGGAGGGTCTGGAAAAATTGGTAAAAATACTGAGAAGCATTGTTCTGTGGCTATCATTAAGAAAACAGTTACCTTACTCTTGATGTCACACCATTCTCTTCATAATTTCAGTGATGATAAATGGTCTTTTAAAAAACTGTTCCATCTTCCTTTCAGGATGGCCATTTGGAAATACAATGTGCAAGATCAGTGGATTGGTCCAGGGAATATCAGTTGCAGCTTCAGTCTTTACTTTAGTAGCTATAGCAGTGGATAGGTAAGTCAGCACCAAGTTCTGAATCCAGGGAAACAGGCATGTCTACATTGAACCCACCAAAAAATATATAATCTACTACATGTGCACAAATCTTCCCCAAATAGTATTCATAAATTACCTTTTTAAGAACAAGACATGTACCTACTAAAGTTTGGGTAATAAGAAAATAATCTATTAAATTGTATATATTTCAAAGTAACATAATTAGGAATAGTACTGTTTTACATTATTTCACACTGGAATCTAGAATTTTCTAATGGTAGAAAAACAAAACATGCTGAAATAAATCTGAAATATTATTCAGATTTTAAGGTTAAAACTCATTTATTTATCCCTTCATTTACACACTTTTTTGAAAGTTTATGATGTACTGGGTACTGGTTGTATAACATCTAAAATCAAGAAGATCAAGTGTTGCCTTAGGAAGTCTATAAACTGATGGAGTAGAGAGACCTATTTAAAAATACTTACTGCTCTTTAATAGGGGTGCAGTACATAACAGCCATTGAAAGGAGAGCATGATTAGTTGTACCTGTTAAAACAGGGAGCACTAGGCAAAGAAGAGGTGATGGGTCAGGAATTGACCTTAGGAAGAAACTGGGGAAAGCACATCTTTTAAGATAAGCATGTACATGGGATGCTTAAAATGGGGTGGGGGTGGAAGGGCTTATCTAGAGAAGGGCAGAGGCAGTTCTGCTAGATCAAGGAGAGCGGAGTGGCACATTAGGCTACAAAAGGAGGCAAAGGTGGATTTTCAACAGGCTCATCTCTCGTTTTAAGCAGTGTAAATTTTGTCCAGAAAACAACAGAGAGCTATTGAAGTTTTTGAATCAGGAGAATAAAGTCTAGATTTTCATTTTAGATACATTAGTAGCAAAGGAAATGGACTGGAATCATACCAGATAAGAGAAAGTCGAGCTGTTAAGACACTTTGTAGCATCATAGATGGGAGAGGGGGTACATGTGTAATAGGACGGTGGCTACTGGATGAACAGATACTTGAAGGATAACTGAAAAATGAACTGAAAAGTAGGCTGTCTACCTGAAACTAGCCCAATAAAGGAAAAGGAAACAACCAGACAATAGCATCAGGTGTGTGCAGAGAGAGAGAGTGGGAGAGCCAGGTTAAAAAGATGAAGTCAAATGGAATTATTGACATCAGAACACAATTGTAGATTGCATTTTTAATATTAGTTTACTATTTATACCATCATTTACACATTGATGTAACTTTTTTCCAAGAAGTTATCATGTAGATCTTTGTTTATTTGATTTATAAGTAAGACAGTATAATTGGAACATTTGCTAATCACCATATGCCAAAGATATAAGGTTTACATTTAAATTTGGGGCTTACTACATCCTATACTACTACTATAATTACACTGTGTTATTATTTCTATACTTACTTATACTATTATTAATAATACAAATGCTACTATTAAATTGTTTTATTATTATAGAATATTTTAAATTCTATACTTTAGTTATATAAATATAATGTGTATATTTAGAGTAAATAAAAACTACAATATTTGGATTTTCTACTTGAATTTTGAGCATATCCTGTGTACTTCCACATTACATTTAGTACTTAAATATTCTTAAATTCTTTTTCATTGTTTTTATATGCCCCTGGATTAGGTGTAGAAATAAACATTGATCTTAATTTAAAAAATAAGATTAGAATCCATAAACAAATTGTGCTATATATATTCAATGGATAATTTCACAGTGATTAAAATGAAGTAGTTATTACATGATTAAAATGAATGAGTCAACACAAATCAGCATGATTATATTTTAAAAGCATAAACTCTCAAACAAGAGATTTCAAAATAAAATATGCATTATCATCCATTGTAAAACGTTATAGGTGTAAATTAATACTGAAAAAGTATAAAAAACATATGATGAATAGGTAGCCACTTCAGAATGTCTAAGAAAAGAGAAAGAATAGGAATGAGTAGATTGGCCATAAGGATTTTGACTGCATCTGTAATGTTTATTTTACAAATGTGATGTAAATATGACAAACATTTAACATTTGTTAAATTTGGATAGCAAGAGCACATTCTTGTACACATTATATTTTTTTCCAGTTTTTATGTTTGATATATTTAAAACAACAAATGAATTGCTAAATAAATATAAGAATATTTTTATTTGTATGCTATAATGCTTTGATTTTTCAGAGATATTAAATTATAATTGTGTTTTATATATGTTTAATATTTTTACAGAGGTAATTTTAGTTTTACTCATTTCATTTTTAAATGTTTGGAAGGGGCACCAGTAAAACCAAAATAATAGGAATTGTCATTTTTTAATAAATATTTATTTTAAAAAATTGGTAATGACAAAAAGCCAAATGACTATAATTTAAAAACTGGTCCTGCCCTTGTAAAATAAAATCCTTCAATGAATCCCCACTATTCTCTGGATAAAATGTAAACTCTTTAGTACAGTTATATATAAAATTATGTGTATGTGCCTGGGTATACATATATAAAGATAGATGTAGAATGAAAAAAATACTGTTTGAAACACCATGAGTTCATCTTTTTTGAAAAAGAGAAGCAAATACCTAGAAATTAACTCTACGTAATGCCTATGAAATTAACCCTAATTTAAAAGTGGATAAATAGGCGAATTCATTGCTGAGAAGTCTAGAGGGACACTTAGAGGTCAAGGGAGAAGAACTTACTGAAGAAGGAGTAGGGTGGATGCAGAGCAGTCAAGCCCAAGCTGATTAGTTATTCTCTGAAGACATGTCCCCTAAGTTAATCTGGAGTTGTTGTTCAACCACTTGAAGCTCTAAATTTCCTTATCTGCAGATCTGACCAGTAATCAGTTTCATAAAATTTCATTTTTAAGAAGTCATTATGAAAATCTGAAAAGATTAAATAGGGACTAGTACTTTGAAAAATGGCAAACTTGCATAAGATTAAATAGGGACTAGTACTTTGAAAAATGGCAAACTTGCATAATAATAGTATGAGTGTATTATAATAATACAATAAACTTCAATAATAACAAGTTCTACAATAACAAAATAGTACTAAAATGAATCAGGCATACTCTAATACTGATGTTGAATTTTCATGCTCAGCAGAGGATGGCAGAATGTCAGAAAGGCTCCAAATCAGGACTCATAATGGAAAATCTCAGACTCCTACAGCGTGGAACAAATTGCTGAAACATTTAGTAATTTGACACAATTAATGCTTTATTACTTCTTATGATTCTGTGAGTTGACAGGGCACCTCTCTGTGGTTCTCCTGCTCTGTGTGTGGTAGCTGGAATCACTAACACTGCAGTGTTACCCTGGGAATTCAGCTGAGGCTGGAACATCCAAAATGACCAACCTGTCATCCCCCAGGGCCTTTTCCCACATGCCTCTCATCTAATTCAAGCTTTTAGAACCTGGGAGCTGAATTTTAAGAGGAAGCATTCCAAAAGGACACGACCCAATGTGCACGAAAAGCTTCTGTTTGCATCATGCTTGCTAATTAATGTCCTATTGGCCAAAGCAGGTTTCATGGCCAAGTGCACAAATGATGTGTTGGGGAGCAGAAAAGAACAGGAGGAGAAAAAGTCATTGATGGCTACTGATTAACAGGCTACCACAGCCTAAGAGCTGGCACACTGTGGAGGTTAAGAGCCTGAGCTCTGGAGCTGAACTCTCTGTATTAAAATCCAGACAAGATTTTTGCCTTTTCTAAATTGATTTACTCAAATTATTTCACCAAGAGAGGCTTAAAGTATAACAATGAGGGTCTCCCTCCATTACCATGCAATTTCCCTTTTCTCTCCCTTTCCATCCCACCTCATGTATCTGTTTAATGTTAATCTTTTCTTCCTGCTCTTCCTCCCTGCTCTGTTCTTAGTTGCTCTCATTATATCAAAGAAGACAGATGGTAGAGGATAGGAAAGGTAGCAGAATACAACAGTTACTAATAGGGCATTATGTAAAAATGTGGATGTGTAACCGATGTGATTCTGCAATCTGTATTTGGGGTAAAATTGGGAGTTCATAACCAACTTGAATCTAATGTATGAAATATGATATGTCAAGAGCTTTATAATGTTTTGAACAACCAATAAAAAAAAATTAAAAAAAAAAGAGAGGCTTAAAGTGACCACCCATACAAATCAATGAAACATTGCCTGGAGCACAGTCTTATGTGGTCATATTAAAAAATATATCACTTACTATTATTACTTTTTTATTAATAGTGTCTATTATGCTCCATTTTTTTCAAATTTTGGATTAAAATATATCTCATATATAAATTACAGAAAATAACAATACATGGCTTTCTACCACAAATGGTAACTTTTCATACTTTTTGAGGGAAATGAGGGTGGGAGGTCCTTAATTACTTAAATAAAGTAGATTCACGACTTGGTTGGAAGTTATGAGGCAATGCCTCATTCATATTTGCCTTTAATTGCAGATTCCGGTGTGTTGTCCACCCTTTTAAACCAAAACTCACTATCAAGACAGCATTTGTCATTATTGTGATCATCTGGGTCCTGGCCATCACCATTATGTCTCCATCTGCAGTAATGTTACACGTACAAGAAGAGAAATATTACCATGTAAGAATCAACTCTCAGAATAAAACCAGTCCAGTCTACTGGTGCCGGGAGGACTGGCCACATCAGGAAATGAGGAAGATCTACACCACTGTGCTCTTCACCACCATCTACCTGGCTCCCCTATCCCTCATTGTCATCATGTACGGAAGGATTGGGATTTCGCTCTTTAAGTCTGCAGTGCCCCACACAGGCAAGCAGAGCCAGGAGCAGTGGCATGTGGTGTCCAAAAAGAAGCAGAAGGTCATCAAGATGCTCCTGACCGTGGCTCTGCTTTTCATTCTCTCCTGGCTCCCCCTATGGACTCTAATGATGCTCTCAGACTATGTTGACCTTTCTCCAAATGTACTGCGGATCATCAACATCTACATCTACCCTTTTGCACACTGGCTGGCCTTCTGCAACAGCAGTGTCAACCCCATCATATATGGTTTCTTCAATGAGAATTTCCGCCGTGGTTTCCAAGATGCTTTCCAGTTCCAGGTCTGCCGGAAAAGAGGAAAGTCCCAGGAAGCCTATGTCCTAGGAGCTAGAAACAATGTGCTCATAAACACAACTGCTCAGCTCGCCCGGGAACCTGAGTTTCAAAACCCACCTGGGGAAAATTTGCTTTATGGAAAAAGTGCTGAAAACCTCCAAAAGGAATTAGCGATGGAAGAATTGGGAAAAGCTCCCAAGAGTAATGAGATGTAAGACCTGGTGTGATAATACTAACTTTAATGTGTGTTATATATGTAAACACTGTTGCTTTTTGTGGCTTTGTACTGTAATTCTTTCTAAGGCACTAAAGATAATATTTACTGAAAGCCCTCTCTGGCAAAAAATAAAAAATGTAAACAAAATAATCAAGTGGTATATAAAATATGTACAGTGACTCACAGATTTGCCTGAATAAATCTGATTCTAAGAAACAGTTTGCAAAACCTGACCTTCCCAAATTAACTGTTTGTGTGTGAGTCAAATGAATCTAGCATGTGTGCATGTTCTGTAAATGTACATATCCACAAATACCAATTTTCCATAAATAGTGGTAAGTAGGCAGTGTTTTGCATGAAAGTACATTATGTCAATTTTCCCTCTGGTTTTGAATTTGAAAAATTTAGACTACATATTTATTGATTTTCTTGTGTTTTTAGAACTTAATTTTCTTTGCAATGTGTTGGATCCCATGTAGTTCCTTACTGAGGCTTTTCTCATTGCCTTCAGTTTACATGGGTTGACCTAGAAGCAAGAATTGTAGGTCCATGGGTAATTATGACATGGGTGACTTCATTTTCTACGTTGGAACTGACTGCAGGGCCAAATAAAGAGAGCCAGTATTTCTTTGTATTTTTTTTCTTCTAAAGAGTATTAAGCTGGGAAAATCATAATGTCAATTCATGGAAGTTACTATTGGATTTTTTTAAATATATTCACAAATTTTATGCCCCAGCTGAGTCCACATTTCTTATGGAACTGATTCAGGCCCAAATTAACCCCCTTCTAACAGAATCTCCAACCTAAAGAAGCAGATCCTTTAATAAGGCACCAGGTGGCATGGGAGTCTCCTCTCTTCTAAAGTGCTTCATCAGAGATGTTCAGCAATCATCCTAAGACTCCTATAAAGTATAGAAAGAGCAAGAACAATTATTTCAAATCTCCTACTTAGTATTACACTTAAATCCAGCACCCTGGGGTTAATAAATCAGTACTATGGTTAAAAAGAAAATTGGCAACCCCTGGATTCTACTGTGTCACAATTATGTAGTAATAATGGTTGTAAATGCTAGCTTTTATCTAGGGTGAGATAGGTCCCAGGAAAATTGTGAATTATAACAAAATAATTTGTTTGGCAAATAAGAATAAATCTCTGGATGTGAAACTGTCATACTTTTTTTTTTCAGTCATTGCTATGGTTTAAGCTGAAAGATTTTAAAATAGGCCTTTGAGATAAAACTGTTGAGGGGTTTGTAAACCATTTTTAATTATAATTAATAGCCCATACTAACTGTACAAAATAATGAGTTTCTTTGTGCCATTTTCATACATGCATATAACATACTTTTAATTTGAAATGAACTGTGTGATATTGTAATTTGCATGTATTATTTCCTGCAATCAGGAGAGGACAACTTTTTGAAATTTTATGTATAAAACTTGATTTTGTGTTCCTTTACCCTAACTTATTGAAATACCACTTACAGTTGATATGCTTGTATTATTTGATGGAGACTGTCACCTGCTCATGTGAACATCCTCTCATATTTGACAAGTACTTAAACCTCATCCCAAGCCCTCATCTCTCACCTGCTTTATCCCCGTCTCAGCCCCATTACCTCTTCTTGAATGGTTAGAAAATCCTCACTAATCATACCCAGTGCTTAGTCTTGCATCTTTCAGTTTTTTTTCTACAGTTGGCTCAGTCACCTTTTGGATACATAGATAGCTAATTTGCTGTCCTTTGTAAAATGCTTTTCTTCACTCTCAGTAAAGCATGTGCAGGTACTCAAAGCCCCCGAGGCCTGGCCCTCATCTATTGATTGCATCTTCCTCACAAATCACTTCCTAAACTTCTGTCAAACTGAGATGATCAGCCTAGAATGATGAGGTTTTTTTAAAAATTTTTTTTCTTTGATTACATTTATCTGCTTCTTTACCACTCATTCTTCACTATTTGCCTTACAATCCTTGATCCAAGGTCCATTCAAAAGTCGCCTCTCTCGAAAGTCTGTCTGCATTCTTTCAGCAGAAGTGGTTGGTTACTCCTGAGCCCTTTCTGACTCTTGTATAAAACAGACAGACTGACTTGTACTGTAATTGTTCTGAATTGTGTTTTCATACAGTAAATTTCTGAAGGGCATGACAAGTAAGACCTTATTCATCTTTCGATCCTCTTCAGTGTGAATCAATAAGCAGGCTGTACCTACATAATAGATAATTGCCACAGGCAGAAGCTGTTTGTTGGTTTGCTTAAGGGGAAGGTAAAAGCTGAAAACAAGTAGATTTCTGCGTACAGATTCTAGAACAACAGAGGTAGAAGATGAAGAAAACTAAAATGTCTTGAATGTGCATAATCACTAAGTATTTGGATTCTGGAACCATACAAGATTTGCCGCTGGCTACCTTAAGCTTTGAAAAATACATTTTCTATGCTTGAATTTTCTCATCTATAAGATGGAAATAGCATAGGCCTTTCCACTTGGTATGCTGTCTTAAATGAGGTAGGTGGAGGGGGAAGCTTGAAAAATAAAAAGCAGAGAGTAGCTGCCATTTAGTAAATACTAAACTATTGTTATTGTTTTGATTATTCAAGTTATAATAGTATTAATGACATACTAAGTGATTTTAAACCCTTACAGAAGTATTCTGAGTCATATTTTATTTTTGGAAATTGAAGGCAACTCAGAATTTAATAGAAATATTAGATAAAATTAAAAAGCAGATGAAGTTAAATGAAAATAATTCCTTATCCTGCTATCACCTACTAATAGCCATTTCTGCTTTCATTTGGGGATATGTGCACATGCTTTCTTTAATAAGATTATGATTCTGGGATATGAACTTTATAACCTATTTATTCATTTACTATATCAATAACATGTTTCCATGTTTTTTTTTTTTTAGTTGTACATGATGCTTTTTATTTATTTTTTTTTATTGTTGGTTGTTCAAAACATTACATAGTTTCCATGTTTTTTGTCTTCAAAATATTTTATTCATTTCAATGCTATTATTACACCATTACACTTCTCTGTGGCTAGAAATGTAAGTTACAATACATATTATAAAAGAATGTAATTATTATACCTTGCATAATCAGAGGCCTATTTACAGTTACCTTGGAATAGACTTCCAAGAAATGTACATTTCATAATGTTTTAACGTATGTTGTCTTAAATATCTCTTAAATTTTTTGAATCATTTTATACTTCTGTTAGTGGTACAAGAGGGTTTGTTCACATACACTCAAATACTGCACATTCTATAAAGCAAGATTTTCTTGCCAGTTGTATAAGTGAAAACTTATAATCCCATCCTTGTTGTACAGCTGAACATTAAAAATAATCTTTATTGAATGTGATCCATTTGCATTGTGTCTTTACTTAATTCCCTGTTAATGTCCTCTGCCTGCATTCCCTCTAGATCATTTATTTTTCCTTCAGTGATTGGCAAAAACACTTCCTTATTCAGAATACTAATTTGTGAGTGTCAGATAGATTTCAATACCTTCAATGTGTAACTCTGTGTGCATGCACATATATAAATATAGAGTAGAAGGATGAGCTACTGTGACAGTTCAAAATGTGTGGTTTGAAGAAAATAGATATTTATGTCTTTCTCATAAAATTATTCCTGATGTCAGTTGTTCAGATGAGTGGCGACTTTATGTAAGTGCTCAGGTTCCTTCTTTCTGATGACTCCTCTGTCCCCTAGATCAGTGATCAGCAAACCACCATCTACTTCAGCCTGCCACCTGTCTTGGTAAATAATATTACACTGGAACACAGCTCTGCCCCCACCCCACCCCCGCTTTATTTTACATATTAAGTGGTTGAGATGGGGACCATAGAGTTCACAAAACCTAAAATTACTATCTGAACAATTCTGGGAACATTTGCTAACCCTTGCCAAAGAGCACTGTCCTTGTCTCTGTGGTCAACTGACCAATGAGCACATCCCTGTATAATAACATGAGAAGGGGAAATGAAAAACTTCAGGAAAGGCAGCTTGTCATCAAATTAGGGATAACCTCAATGTGCACACATAGCCACAACAAGTTTCATTGGGAACTGGGAAAAATAGTCTTTATTAGAGTGCACAGGTTTCCAAACTAAATTCTACAATCAGAGAAAGACCAGACTTGAGAGTACTTTCAAGTCTTTACACAAGATATTTGCCTCAGTATTAATTAGAAAAATAGGCTTCTTCCCCAGTGATATCTGTGTCTCAGTCCCTGCAAAACATGTGAATTTCACTGTACTTGCCAAAAGGAGCTTTGAAGCTATTATTAAGCTAAGGATATAGACATGAGGGATCACCCTGAGTCATCTAGGACCAAGCATAATCCCAAGGGTACTTACAGCAGAAGAGATGGAGAAGGGAGAGGCAGAGGCAGAACTGACACATCACCTTAGAGCACATGTGCATGTCATAAAAAGACTGTGGGTGGGCATAGGATTGTAAGAGGTACTGTTTGTAAAGACTCAGACGGACATGAGGAACACATTATGGTAAATTGGCAAGAAAGAGATCCTTGTTATATAGTGAAAACACTTTAGCAGGACTGAATCCCACAATTGTGTGGAAAGTAGAACTTACAAACAATGAACATGGATATTTGGCCAAGGATTTCTTTTTTCCTTTTTGCAATGTGGGAAATCAAAGTAAGTTCCTCACAAATGCTAGTCAAGCTGCCGACCATTCTTGAGCAAAGTGATGTACACATGACCTATTGGCTTCTTTTTGTTTATTGTAACATTCAAGAGGAAAGGTCAATTAAAACAACTGTTAAGCAAAAAAAAAGCAAAAAGACTGGGAGGGGGAACTGTGTCTTGATGCTGTGTGATATTCTAAATATATCAAAATTGCAAAAGATGATGAAATTCAGATTCATTGCCAGGAACTCATGCTTTACAAAAAGAGGCCAGGGTATGGCTAAATAATATTTTGCTAAACAAACCAAAATATCAGTGTATTCAGAGAGTAAGCATGTGACTCAGATGCTTCCACTATCTTAGCAGAAGCCAAAATGGGGATGGGCTTATCTTTGAAGGAGCTGATGAGGCTCTTCTTACCTGATAAAGTATATCCCATGGCATAGATGGGAGACCTTTAAAGTTGTTGAGAATGTTATGCAACAGGAAAATAGACAAAACAAAACTGTGAGATTAGACTAAAGAGGACTAGAGGGAATTAAAAAGTCTGCCAGACCCTAAAACTCCACAAGCAAGAAACTGGCTGACAGGTGATATCTTTAGTAAACAAGGAAGGATGACAGAGAACCCATAGGGCAGAGCCATAGGTCATGAAGAATTGTTCCCAGGCTTTGTTTACCTGATCTTATTTGCCTGACCTGATTCTAAAACTGCTTGAGATTTGGTGACTGATCCTTTTCCCTTCATTTTCTCCGTTTGGGGCAGGAGTGTCTATAACATTACCCTATGCCTGTCCTATCGCTGTATTTGGGAATTAGCTAACCTGCTTTTTCAGTTTCATGGTGCACATAGGCAGAAGAATTGTGTCACACAGTGCCACTGTTTGTGATAATTTTTTATTGGCAACAACATATAGCCACAACAAGTTTCATTGGGAATATTTCATTTTCTTTTCTATAATTAATCCATCTGTTTGAAGTGCATATAAGAGAGGCATTTTGCTGAGGCATCCAGCGACACATGCCTCACGTGTTGGTTTTTTGTACCACCACCCCATTAAGGGATTGTGTTGGGTTGTGTTTCTTTCCCCTGAATAGTGAGAGTCAGTGGTAGTGGCCTGTGTGGATTAAACTAGGCAAAGACTACACATATTCAGTTCTGCAAGACAGACATCAAATAAATACATACATAAATAAGAAGTCAGCTCCAATGAACCCATGCAGAAAGTTGCAATAGAAAGAGTATGAGGCTAGGTGACTTTCAGAATAGATATAAGTTTTGTGTTGTACACTTTTTAATTACAGTGTGGAAAGAGGGTCACTGTGGTCTTTTTCAGTGGCCAATGCCTGGCAAGGCATAGAGGCAGGGTAGTGTGGTAGTTTGGACCACAGACACTAGAACAGGACATGCAGGTTCAAATTAAGGATTCACTGCTTGTTATCAGCTGCGTGATTGTGTAAAAGCTACTTCATCTGTCTCTGCATCAGTCCTCATCTGTTAAAAAAAATAATAATAATACACATTCCCAAATAAGCTGCATTGCATAAAGCATTTGGAACAATGCTTAGTCTTCATATAGTCATGTGTGTAGTCTGTCATACATACCACATATTCAGCTGGGACCAGTCAAATTTTAAAATATGAGATAAGAGAATAAAAGTAAAGTGAGTTTCTCTATCTGATGTATTAGCCCTGAATGGTGACTTTCTACAAGCTTTCACATATGTAATCATGATGAGTCACAGATGGTAACATATAGGTGGCATAAAAATACTAATTAAAAACAGATGAAACAAATAAATAAAGTGAAAGTCAAAACTTCAATCTCGAGGGAATGACATTGGGCTAAAAATGGATAAGAACTTTACCACTGTTTTATGTGTGTGTGTGTGTGTGTGTTTCATTTATTGTTTTCCTTTTTATACCATGGGCTTTTGAAAGCAAAGAATCTGTTTATTTTAATCTTTGTATCTTCAGTGTTTAGTATGTTACCCTGAACATGTAGGTGAAATTATAAGTAAATTGAATGTCAGAACAAGTGTTTTTACTAATGAATTTGTTACTCTAATATCTTCATTGCTTCTCTGATAAAGCAATATGATTTGTGTTTGTGAATTAGAATGAAACAAATTAAAATATTTTTCCAATAAAAATTATTTGTTTTCTATTAAATATCTCTTATATACAGATATATTTGTATTACTGAAGAACTCAAAATGGTGGTTCTGTTTTTACTATAAAATCCAAAGTATAATGATAATGAATAAAATTTTAGATAAATAACTTTACCAAGAATTATATTACTACCATTTTTGATTAATTAGTTGACATAAATTTGCATTTACTGCAAATATATTTCTAAAAATTTAGAATTCCCATTTGGAAAACTATTTTTTGAGTACCACAACAGAGTAGTTGCTTATTTTAAAATCACAGTCATCTGATACTATCTATTCCATAGAGCGTAGAGAAATAATTAGAATCATTTTTTTTTGTCTTTTTTGCATCTTGGCCCTGTAATATAGGTATCAGTTGCTAAAACTCAATGTCATGCAGTTTTCTCATATAAAAATGAATATAATAATAGGATCACTTAAAAAGTTAATGTAATGCCATATATAATACCTTAGAACTATACTGAGTACTCTCATTCAACAAGGAAACACATTTCATCCCTGTCTAGTGTCTATTATCTATCATGAAGAGGTTCAGTACAATTTGGATGAAACTCAGAGGTTAAATATAATTGCTCTAACTTGGCCTTTTGGACAATAATCATAACAAATAGATAACAGAAAAAACTAAGAAAGAAAAGAAAACCTCAATGTATTATTAAGACTTATATGCTCAAAGCTTATATAATATTGCCTGTCCCATTTTATAGGTGCTAAATTATAATTCGGAGACATCAGATAACTTACATAAAATTGTAAAACTCTGAGGAAGTTTTGAGTTGTACACAGATCCATGCAGTTAGTTCTAAAGCCCAAGATCTCTCATCGGATCCTATTTCTAAGTGGAGTTTCCTTCAATGTTCCCAACTTCAAACATATTTCAAAACTCTCAATTTCCCTTACAAACACCAACTATCAGAATAGTTATCAGGAAATCATGTTAAATGTTTTCTCATCAAAATTACAGAGGAGAGAATACAAAGAACAATGCAAAAATCATCTCAGACTATTTTGACATTTCATTTTAAAGCCCATTCTTTAGAAAATAATTTACATCTTTTCCTTCTGACAAAGACCACCAAGAGAGTGAAGAAATAAAAGAAAATAAAAAAGAAAAGTTGTTAACTGGCCACAAGATGCTTCCAGGCAGGTGGTGATCCTTTTATTCTTGTCTTCCCCAAAGAAATATTTCAGTGGGAAGACTCAGACTGAACATGAGAAGTTTAAGCAGCACTGGTTTGTGATTTATCAGCAAAGCAAGAGCACACAGTACACCTCACAAAAAGCAGAGCAGGCTGTACCAAAAGATGGAGAGCACCACTACTTAGGTTTATGACTGTTTTTATGTCAGTGAGGAGTAAATATTTTTTACATTTATGTAAATTAAAGATGTAAATTTTTCTTCTAGTGCATTTGATTGACATCTACAAGTTGATATAATTTTACACTCAATGTACAGGCACTTAACCCATAACTATCTAAGTGGCGCTCAAAAGGGGGTTTCAAAACTGCAATGCAAAAGATATTATAAA